TGAGACCATCTTACAGATGCAAACTTGCAGATAGCAATACAATAATGCACTAAAATGAAATCTAAGCAATCGTATTCAAGCTCAGATGAAATTCATTTCATCAAGCTTAATCGTTAAACATTTACTTAAAATGTGCAATATTGGAAAATGAATTTCCATCATTTATTGTTGGAAATAATTTGAGCGATTGTTCGAGAATGTTAGCTAGCATAGGGCGAATTCGAGTATAAGGCAAAAATGTTTACTTCTTTTTTTTCGTTTATCTCATTAAAATACCCATTCAATTGTGCGCGACTGAATGAACACATTATTGACTTGAATCAGTTGGAACTGAAGAAAAAATGCTGAAAGGGAATTGGTTGATTGAAATTTCTCGTTTTATGATGCAAATTTTGGCATACATTTCGAATGGAGTAAGAGCTTTTTCTGGTCTATTTTACACGATTTCACTCACTTATTTTCCATATGAACTAACTGATAGGAAAAGAAACGAATGAATGACGCAGTTCAGCGATTGCACATGCTTGAAATGCTATCAAATTTTCCAATTGTGTTCAATTTCGAGTGGCAATTAAAACGAAATCCTTTCTCGTTGTATTTCTCCAACTGTTTTCCAGCGTTATTGCTTCAGTTGATCGTTTCGAATAAAATTGCGAAGCATAAACATTCGCAACAAGACACAAGATTAATGCGCATTTTGAGGCACAACAATACGCTTCAGCATTATTTGCTTGTAGTTGAAAAATATCAAACGAATTGCTATTTAAAAAAAAGCAAAACAATGTTTTTGCCTCACTTAAGTGTATAGTGAAGAGCCAGAAAGAAGAGTAAGGGATTGAGTAGGAATTGGGTACGATATCAATTAACTACTCGAAAAATCCTTCAAATTGAGATGTTATGTTTCCCACTTCAGCAAGGAGCTCCAGTTCTAGCGTGATGCCTCCTTGCTTCCTGGATAAAGAGGGACGTAACACCATTTTTGGTTCATTGTGATTTATCTGCGCCCACGCCAAAATCACTTATCAATGCTTGTACCAAAATAAGTCATCAGTCACTTCATCAACGCTAAAATGACTTGTCAGTGTCCACTAGAAACTGGTGATATTACTTCGTATGGTTGTTGACTGTTGATGGAGGATTCTAGAGAAGAGCACGGCCGATGCATCATGCAACAAAACAGACAGTCGTGTCTTTTTCAGGATCGATGCACCAGTGTTGGTGAAGCACATTGCGGTGCAACAGACAGGTCAATGAGTCAGGTTTGGGATCAGTTCGGTGATTGCTTGGCCGAAGCGATCACTAAGGCTGAGCCGATCAGAGGCAAACGAGAATGCCTTAAGGCGTGGAATGCACTCATTTCTTTCATTGTTAGAAAGTTTCACTTCTCTACGATTCTTTCATTCCATACATTTCGCCCCAATCGTCTCAATCTCCGATCGTTGACTTGAGAAAGTGATGAGAAACACTGATCAGTTTAGTGGATGTAATTTCAAAACGTTTCATTCCATCAAAATAAGCTCTCGCGCTTATGCTCACAATTAGGCAAATGCTTACGCTTAAACATGGAGGAGCTCAATCAACATTTGTTTTAACATGCATCCGACTTATTCGCACTTTAACTGACTTTATAACAACAGCTAGGCGTAAAGTGCGAAAAACTTGTTTGGATCGTTCCTCATCATAAATTGCAAAATATTTTTGTGCGGTGATAATGCATAGGACCAAAAAATTCACAAATTCATTCAAGAAAAACAATAGCGGAGTGATAAAATTGTTTCAGGTGGATAGTACTAAGGGTGGCTACCTGGCAGAGTACAAAAGGAGGAGTGCTAAGAAGTGGTCTCGACAAGAGAACACTGCTGCTGATACAATCTAATCAGACACTTCATACTGCTGCATATCAATATTCTATTGTGTAAAAGCATTTGTTTCACTCGACTATATTCATGA